TTTGTCAGACCTCCCTTGCACGGCATTCTCGTTATTCAGGCACCCTTACACCCTAGAATTCCGAGAACTACAAAAAGGATTAAATTTAGCGAACGAATCTTCCGCTCCGACTGGCCGATTTCAATCGTTCTTCTCCCATAGAAAGACGGACGGACGGAAATTGCTCGTTCACGACAATGCGATCGCCGATCTTTGACGTAAGCGCGTAGCATTATCGACGACGGAATGGCGCTCTGCCGACTTTCCGACGGATTCGTTCAAAGGAAACTCGTGTCGACGGGCCTTTCGGCTTTGCCGGAGTCGTCAGTCCACGATGGACGAATCGGCCCAATTCCGCTGAACGGGTGTTATTCCACTTGACGGGGCCCGCCACGGTGAAATCGATTTTCGTTCACGCTCTTTGATATCACGTCGAAAATGGATGACTGTATCGCTCTGAACGGCCGATCTCGCCAACTGACAAAGGGATTCGAAAAATAATTGATACATACTCCGTTTAAAAACTCATTTATTTGGTCAAAAACGATTTTTAATCCTTTTAATATAATAAACTATCTTAATTAAAATCCGCAGCCGGTGTACAATTGTGTGTCTTTTTATTAATCTTGTTACTCGGAGTTCTTCACACACGTCGGTAAATTTGGATGTAGTGTCGAAACATTTTTTGAATTTAAAATGCAAGAGATAAAATATTTAACGATAAGAAGACACATATAAACAGATTACTCGTCTCTCAATTTACGTTTGAGTGCAGACGAATGAACGACAAAAATCAATAACTGCGCCTAATTTGACGTAATAACTGACTTAAGAAAATTTCGAGACACTTCATTTGAAAGCACCTGGCAAAGTTTGCAATAGCGCTATTTTGTCGTTCTTCGAACGCAGTTTCGAAAAGCATTCCTAAGCCTTTGAAGCAAAAAGACTACGCACTCGGCTCGCCGCTAACTCGAATTCATCGACTGCACATTCCTCCTGAGGGGATGATTCCGTTCCCTCTCCACCCTTAAAGCTCTCATCGATTTATTCGCCACATAATGCCGCTTAATCCTTCGATTCCTCCGGTAACAAATAAATATTACGGTACGATTAAACGCACCGTAACCAAACAACATGCGTTCATTCTCCGTACCCTCGTAATTGCGAATACGATTAAATTTTTGTTAAAATTTAACGATAATTTATTTGACATTAAAGGTGCACTTACGTGCTTTAAAGCTCTCTTCATATTGGCGCGCACGCCATCAAGGATCGTTTGCGTGTTTATTATATATTGATAAATTTTATTACTCAAATATTACAGTCGTAAATTATTTAAACATATATGAAATAAATATCGGAGGAGATTACAGCTATTCGGATATGGTTAAATAAATAATGTAATGCAGGAAGATGTAATATTTACAGGATATTTATTTTGTAAGTGGACAAAAAGTTATTACAGTTTAAACATTTTATTTGGAGCTGCATCGTTACATTTATTGTTATATCTCTTTAACGAACTCCTTAATTACCGACAATCAAGTACTTAACATTATCATCAATCACACTCGCCATTCGTCACACATGTTGTTTCTCGACGTATATCATTGATTATGCGTCTTATGATTTACGATTTAACTCTTTACCACACCGTTGCGGTATGTAACTCGTGATATCAATTTTTCAGTTTCTATAAAAATAACAACAATTTTCCATTGTATGATGCGTTTTGTATTAAACGTATGATCAAAATCAATTAAATATCGTCTATATAAAATATCTACAATTTTTTATTTTTCAAATAACATCTTTTTGGCTCGATAAAATTATTTGTATTTTTATTGCTACCATTCTTTACTTATTTGTAACTTGGCCAAAAATTCTTTTATATAATAAAAATATCATTGCTATGAAAGACAATGCTGATAATGTCGCGATATGTATTTCTACAAATCTTATCGCAAGAAACCAGTATTTCTAGATATTTAAACGCATCTTGTTGCTTATTTAAAATATATTCTCAATTGTAAGAGAAATTATGCGGTAAAGAGTTAACTTTGCAATTTAAACTTGATTTCATCCGATATCGAGCTCCGCGTTATTAAATCTAAGATAAAAATATCTGTTATTGTTATTGTTAATTGCTAACAAAGGAAACTTCCATCGTTACATCACGACAAGAAACATCGACGCACCATCTCCTCGAAGCTTAGCTTAATTTTTGCATTGTTTCTCTTAACGGTTAGCTGAAATTAAAAATATGTCTATCGTCTAGTAAAATTGTCAATTTCGATATGTTATCCATCGGATTTATTTACAATTTTTATGACATTTAAAAGTTATCGTTCTGGGGAAAGGACGTTACGAGAAACGTTTAGAAAGTGAAGTAAAAATTAACTTCAATATATTATTTACTCAAGTAAATTTCTCGATTATTTATTTAATAAATCTGATTGAAAATATTTGCCACATTATGCAAAATATTGCGTAATATGATAAATATTTAATACAAGCCAAAAATATAATTCGTAGGCGATTACACAAGCTGACAAAATCGACTACATAAGCTTTGCTTCATATGAGTTTATAAAAATAGGAAAATATGAAAATAATTACGAGAGAACACAAGCTATATAAAATTAGACTTTATTTTTTTAACAGTGATTTTTATAGATTATTTACTTGTAAAATATTCAAGAGATATGAAAGAATGTCAGCTCTAACTTATTCTGTAATATCTAACATAACTAAAAATTCTAACTTTTCATAAAACAAGCGAATATTAAAGAGTTGCTGCTGAGATAAAAGTATATAAGGAAAAACCAGTCCTGCATTGCGCATGCGTACTAACATGTGCGTGCATCTTAATTACAGAATTATTTACACCTCTAAACACGTGAGATGTACATTTTAATCTCGATATTAAGACGCAACACGCAAAGCTCACCAACGAAAAATTAATTTATTCATATTTAAGCTTCTCTTTTTAATCTGTTTTAATATTACTGGAAGAAGCGAGTACGCAAACAAATTAAATGTTAATTTAAGCGATGTTTTGTCACATTTAAAAATTATAAACGGTTAATATCTTTAGCCAGTGGTTTCATAATTTCGCGTAAAATTCTGCGGGAAACGTGGGTTTGTTCAAATCATAAAAGATACACGCGACTTTTACACCGGTTCATAAAAGTAAATTCATAAAAGTTTCAAAGGGTCCTGGGCATTCGAGGACTATAAATTTCAGAGTTCCTAGAATTCGAGGATCGCGCTACAACAAGAAAAGGTACTTCGGGGTCTTTATGACCTGAAATCAAGAGATCATATGCAGTTTGGAATCATTAGATCGCCACGGCATAGAATCTATTGATCTTCTGAGACTGTAGACCTGTGAATCCTCAGGTATCGGGAAAATCTAGGCCCCGGCGATTGTGCGGAGAGCACACAAATTCCACAATCACTTCATCTACCATATTTCCATATTATCCCGTTTACCCGCTATCCGTCCTCTCTCAACAACAAGGGCCCCTGGCTCGAAACGTGGCGAGCGTTCCAGCTCGAGCTCATCACTAAACAAACGAGCTCATCAATAAAACAACACGATCCCCCGTTTAAACGATCTGCCGCCATTTAGCCGTCGTCACACCCACCAGGTCTGAGTTTAGTTTTGCAGGGCGATTAAATTATTCATGCAACACGGTGGACCCAAACGCGAAAGCCAAGGTAGCCCTCCTACCCTTCGTGACGGTAGTAGATCTTGTCCTTGCAGTTGCACGTGGCGCCGCAGAACTTCCGGCGTTCACGGCCCTCCTTGGTGTCGGTCTCGCAGACCCACGAGTCGAATGTCCTGACCAACTCGGCGCAATTCGACCACAGATCGGTATGATAGCAGGCGTTCGTGCAAAGCGAGCCCCGCGTGCAGTGATCCTTGCACATGCTACACGGTTTCCCAGCCACGTAGGGTAGGCCCAGGCGGCCCTTGTAGTTACCGCTGCGAAATAAAAACGTATCAACTATTAGACGGCATTAGACAATTGTAAAAATGATCGCAACAGCGATCAAGAAATGGATCGGATTGACGTTGAATCGCGATTTATCGGTAAGTCAAAGCACGTTGGTTCAGCATTGGCAAGCTGGCTATAAAAAGAAAAAAATTTAAATTTCGTTCCCATGACTAGAATATAAATTTAATATTGACGGCATTAATTTAGCATTCATTTCGATACTTTGGAACGCAAGAGAGAATCTTATTTCTTTTCTTCCTTTTACTTTAAAGTAGTTCACATGGAGTTGGATTTTAACAAGTTGCTTTCAGTTCTCAGCTTCTCCAATTTCATAACGTACAATATTTATAATATTTTATTCAATTTGTGTGTATTCAAATATACACCAATTGGATGTGAATTCAACTATATATATTATCATAAACATATGTTATTTGAGTTATAGGTAAAGGAAAGTAAAGCATTACATCAAAAGATGTAGTTCAGAGTGTACTTGAAGACGTCTCCTATTAAGTCAGAACTCAAATTGAAGAAGAGTGAGTTGTCTTTAGAGAAGATTTTAACACGCGCGTGTTTGCTTTGCTGAAGATCAGAACAGTAATTATACACAGATAGCTTGAACAAGTTTGCGCTAAATTTCTCGGATTAAATTTCTTATTTAGCAATAAATATCTTGTTGATAATTATGTGTCAAAATAAAATCAAGAAAAAACTCAATATCGATGATAATCCTTTACTACTACGATAATCCTTTATTTTATAATTTATTTCCAATTAACTAAAGAATTAAAGAATAAGTAATTAATTAATTTTACCGAGACTTGAAAATGACCGAGATTTAAAAATATTTTCAATCATTAACGATTCAAATTTGGAAACGCAGATGACGTTGGTCTTTTTGGAAAAGCTCCCGAGCTCCCTGGGACTTAAAATAAATGCCCAATTTCTCGAGTACTCCGCATAATAGTGTAAATACTTTAGGCAGTATCCTAATCCAAATCCATTAGCCATGCGCATTAACGAAAAGCCGTGGAAGGACCGTCGGGCAATTTGCAAATGGGCGAGCGAATTTACATGCAAAGTATTTTTCGGTACGAGTCGCGCGTCTTAAACGATCGCGCGAGAATTTCCGTCTCTAAAAGCCGCTAGCAGTCTGGGCCGCTGTATATCCACGAAATTAATTACGAGATAGAACCGGTGTGGAAGAACGGCAAGATAAAAGGAAGGATAAGGTGGCCCACCACCACGTGACACGGTTTATTTATTCAGGACCCGGGGCCAGTGATGGTGGTCATGCAATCCGCGCGCCGGCTTCGCTTCTCGTGCGAAATAGGTCAGGCGTCAAATACACTGCTGGAGAATACGCGGCGTTTAACAACAAGTATACAGATCGACATGTAGAACGGCATATGAGATGATCCTAATAAAAGCCGCGTCATGGAATTCCGTTTTATCCGAAAGAATCTTTGTAATGAAAACTGATATCGAACTTCACGACGTCACGTGCCAATTCTCAATAATTT